TGAAAAAAGATGTGGATTGCTGGTCCTCAAACTTGAATAATTGTCTAGCGCCCTCTTCATTTGCTATTTTTAAGCGGGGTCCCATCATACAGTACAAGAAAAACCAGTGTGACAGACACAAATATATCGTATCAGATACATGCAATCAAACACGAACAAGCAACCCAGTGACCGCCATGTCAATTGCAATGTCCGTCAGTGCCCATCATAATTGCATGCAGTGTTTATTCAACTCGTTCTCCTTCTTCAACCTCTCGACTGGAGGTGGACACAAAATGTCAGAAGTGGTTTCTTTCCGAAGAGCAAACTATGCAATCTTTTTGTCAAACAATTTCCTAATTCACAGCAAAACATGCAATTGTATTATTAAAACAGATGAAAGTCGATCACCGTTATTTGACCCGATTTGGAAGCGTCAACCCTCTACTCATACTGGGTAATTCGCCAGTCTGCACCCTCTTTAACGAGATACCCTGTCAATATGGAATGTGAAAGATTAATATTACAAGGCAAAAGTGACATTTCGAATGTTCTCGTATATAATTTAAAATAAGAAGTGACAAGATTGTTATTTCATATGGGGGACTCATGATTGAAAACAAACTGTCATACAATTCATGATTAAACTATGACTTACATTAGACAGTTTATCGATTTTGAATTATGTTTTGCAATGACGCGTATTTTGATGGATTCCAGCGATAAACCAGTGATTAGCAGATCCCTTAGTAGATACAAGTTAAAAAATCTTTCATATTATAGGGCTGCTGATGTAAACTATCAATGTATTAGACGATATTATAAATACAATAATATACATTGATTAAGTAGGCTATAGCATAAGACTACTTTTATTTTAACGCCTGTGCTTATTTTTAAAGTATTTACGTATAAAAATATTTTTGATAAGTATATATTTTTAAATATTTCATGAATGTATATTTTAAACATTACAATGAGGCTTTCTTGCCTAGAATTTTTAAATGGACAATTAATAAACATTGAGGAATATACAGAGTTCATAAAAACACAATCATAAATGTAAGCAATGTCAAGTTTAATTAAAAATCAAGAGCTAATATATCGATAGGTTACCCAGATAAGCATAGTATATTATAAGCTTTACCGTTTTCGTTGTTTTCTTTACCATGGCCTAGTATAGGCCTACCGTTGCCGTCGCCACCATCATCCCCGTGTGTGATTATCGTCATCTCTATCTTTGAGGCCTAGGCCTAGTATTATTATGTCTATCATAATCATTATCGCATTGAGCATTGTTTAAAACACACGCTGGACGAAAGCTTGCGTTCATATGGTGTTATTAAAGCACTATACTTAATACGATTTCTAGTTTATGATAATAACTTATATTTCTTAAATCAAT